GTCGCCCTTCGTGGCCCCCTCGCTACCCTTCGCGGCCCCGTTGCTGCCCCCAGTGGCTCCACCCTTGCCCCCTGTGGCCCCGCTTTTTCTGCCCTTCGTGGCCCCTGTTCGTTCGCCCTTCGTTGCCCCATACGCGTGCCCTTCGTGGCCCCGCTGTCGCCCTTCGTGGGCCCCCTCCTGCCCTTCGTGGCCCCGCTGTCGCTCTCGCTCTCGCTCTCGCTCTCACTTTCGCTCGTCGCTCGTCGTCGTCGTCGTCGTCGCCGTCGTCGTCGTGATCGGTCCCCTGTCCGTCTTTCTTGGGGTCGGGTTGCCGCCTATCAGCGCTGCCGCTGGCCAAGCCGACGGTCCGCGGCCGCCCCGCTGCTTGCCGGGGCCCGGCCTGCAGGGAAGAAATATATACCCTCCAAAAGAGGTGCGATCGAAGACGGAGAGGGCGGGTACCGAGGGTTTGGGAAGCACGCGTTGAAGGTCACCCCAGCAGATAGGAGCGAACAGTCGTCTCAACATGAGTGTTGTTGTCGTCGTCGTCGTTGTTGTTGGTGTTGTATCTCTCTCATGGAAGGCGAGGGCGTCTGGGGAGGAGCGGCTCAAAACATGCGCGCTGGCCGCATTGGACGCGGCGGTACCCGAGGCCGCCGCCCGAAGCCCCCCGCGAAACCGCGAGGCCCCGACGCGCGCGCCGGAGCTCGCGGGGTGGCCGTGGCCGCGCCCTGGAGGGGGAGCGGCGCATTGGCCAGCAGGGCAAGGGCGGACCAATGACGCACCAACGCAAGTCCTCGACTCTCCTCCTCCTCCTCCTCGTTCCGCCTCCTCCTCGTTCCTCCTCCTCCTCATCGTTCCTCCCTCTAATCGCTCCTCCCTCGCCTCCCTCGATGCCCGACTCGCTCGATGGCTTTTTCAATGCTGGGGTGCAGCCCGAACCAGTACTGTTTAAGCACTGCCTGCTGTCGCGACGGCTCGGTAACATATGGATTGCGCCTGTTGGCGGACAAGGGAAGAGAGACGATCCGAAGAGACCAGACAGACAAAACACAGCAGCGGAGAAGATGGTATCCGCTGTCCCTGAAGATGGCTATCCCGACATCTGACAGCAAAGCCCACCACATTGAACTAATAACAAACGCCCGCGTTTCTGCCCAAGCGGAAAGCGGACATAAAGAGGAACATGGGAAGTTCGTGATTCAGGGCACCAGCCCTCTAGCATAATAGTTGCGGATTCGATCACCTCTGCGTGCAGGCTGCTACCAACGAGCCTCGGCATGCTTCCGCAGCTGGGCTGAGGTGATAGGGTGTGTTTGCAATCGTGGTCGGCTTTGCTATATATGTCCAGGGGTAGAACTACGAGGCGATAGCCTCATGAGCCAAGGGAAAGCGACGCCAGACGCACACGCGATCATGCCATCCACCGTCCTGGAAGAAATTCGAAGGACGGGGATGCAGAGAATAACATGTTCAAAGGTGGTGCAAGAAACAATGTGCCTTAGACAATCGCCTCGAGGGGCACTGCACGCGCGGCAACACTGAACCACCCCGGTTGCCAGCTGGGCAATGCATGCGACAATTTTGTACGCAAGAACGCTCTTCAAGTGGATCATTGGCTTCTGAAGCCCAAGACCCAAGCTCCGAACAAAGCTGCTTCTGGTCTGACATTTTACAAGCGGCTGTCCACGTAGCTGACCTGCACCCGTGTCAAAGATCAACCCCAAGATACTTCCCACAACGACTAAATTGAACCAGAAGGCCTGGAAAGCCAGCCTCAGTCATGGCATTCAGGAACTCGCAGGACGAGAAAAACCAAATCAAAACAGCTGCAACTTTCGCAACGTCAATGGAGCTCCAAGCCCATTGCAGAACCAGCCACCCGCCGGATGCGCAGAGAGATGGACAAGCTGACCACGATTTGGACAGATGTCAAACCTATGTCATCGGCGAAGGCTCTTAGGGTTAGGTCGGGATGTCTCCTTACAGGCGGATTTTGTGAAGGAAAAAAATATACTCAAACATACACCAAACCAGTTAAACCAATACTATAAAGAAATCGTCTCCAGACTATTTTTGACAATTTTGGAATATTCCTCCTGTAGAGGGACATGCTCGACTTAATCTTAGGGTGGAGATGCGGGGTGGAAGGCGAGCGGCGTGCATCCTGACGATGGGGTCGGAATGCAAGGGGCAACCTTGCTTGATGCCCCTGCTGCATAAGAAGCCCACTCCTCAGATTACCCAATGGTGGACCTCATTCCCCACATCCTAACGCAATGCCCCGATTGCCTCGACCACGTTGCACGGGATCGCCATGGCGGCAAGGGTCCAGAACATAGCCGCGTGTAGAGCAGACGGGAACGCAGCGCGTGCGTCAAAAAAACGCGAGCCCCGTTCGAGTCATGCGCGCTGAACCATTCAGTGTATGCACTTGCCCTCCAGATCGATAGTATGGTCGAGCATGCTGCGGTTCGTGACGAAACAGAGGGGAGGGTGGGGGGATGATTTTTCTTTAGATTGCAGCTGGTTGGCATGAGGTTGCATGCTCTGAGCGAGCTAAAGTGGCGCTCTACTACAAGCGCCACCTGCGCGCAGTCGTGCCCTTTCAAGGACAATGACCTTCCCTGGGGACATTCGGAAATAGGTGGACGGGCGGACGCCAATTGCTCCGCCCTCGCGAGGTGCACGCAAGCGCGCGCCAGGAAGGCGACGGCGGGGGGGCGGGAATCACACTCAGATCTTCGTGACGTGTTTCAGGTCGTTCGTGATTTTGTTCATGTAGGCCACCGTTCTCCATTCAGATTGCCCGGAACCAGGGGGGAGGAGGGACGGAGAAGGAGGAGGGGGCCAGCCCATCGAAGCATGGCCCTCCCATGACATGCAGGAGTCCCCGACCTCCTTTTTCCTTCCTCCCCGCCGACACCTGAACCCCCGCCCTGGCCCTCCTATGACGTGCAGGATCACCAGCCACCGGTGGGGATCTTCTCTGTAGGGCTTGGTGAGGACCTGTCCAGAGTCTCGCGCGGGTGCTGCACTCAGTGCTTTGCAGCCTCCCTGGCGATCTTCTTCCACGTGCCTGTCTGCCTGTCTGCCCGTTTCGGCCACCCTCTCTACCTCTCTCTTGCTCTTTGTCTCTGCGTTGGCCTTCCTGAGCTGGGGCTCGTGCCGCTCGAACACATGCTTCGGATTGAGACCCCAGACCGCTGAACGCCGACACGTGCCTCGCATGAATCGCCCCCTCCTCCTCCTCCTCCTCCTCCTCCTCCTCATGTTCGTTCGTCGTTGCCCTCCTTCTCCTCCCCCCCTCCTCAGCCCCATCGTTGTCGTCGTCATCCTTCTCATTTGCCTCTGCGGACGTCCTTTACCGAACAATGATCCAACCGCCACAAATATGCAGCCGAGATGCTCCGTGCAGGCGTCGGGGTGGAGGGGGACACGGGGGAGGAGGGACAACGACGAGGGGGCCCAAGGAGCAGTGGCAAGGCTCAGGCCCAGCGGTCGATGGGAGGCCACGATGGGGGGATCGGGACAGGAATATGGGGTAGGCATACAGGGCTAGGGGTACAAAGATAGAGATATATTGTGACATAATTTTCGGGAGCGGCCAAGAGGGGGGTGTCCAAGAGGGGGGGGCTGCAAATCATGACGGGCGGCATGTGCGCGGCCCAGCGGGAGGGCCTGGGACGTAATAGAACAAGAAGAGGCGCCCAGAAATCAGGGGAAAAATCATGGCCCGCGCCATGATATCCACCCCCCCCTAGTCATCACCCCCCTCTTTTCCGCTCCCGAAATTTCGTGTAAGTCGGACAGCGGGGCGCCCAAAAGGCGGCACAGGCGGCAACGCGACGCAACCTCGGGGCAGCCACCCGGCGCACGGGGCGCCCACGAGGCGCCCGCGAGGCAGCGCGGGAACCCGGCCAGCGCACGGGGCGCCCAGGAGGCGGCGAGGGCCGCAACGTGGCGCACATCGGCATGCCCCCAAAGTTGAAGGGGCCCCAGGACACACAAATAAATACACACAAATAAAGAGATTCCCCGTATTTTCCTGTATTTTCTGGGTTTCTGTCTTCCCCCCCCACTTCCCATATTTTCCCATAGTTTCTGGGGAATCGAGGATTAATTGTGTCTGTGTGTTTCTTTTCCTCCTGAAAAGTGCTGTGCGCCCGCGAGGCGTCCACGAGGCGCAACGTGGCGCAACCTCGGCACGACCCCCTGGCGCGGGGCGCCCACGAGGCGGCACGGGCGGCAACGTGGCGAACGCCCGGGACGCCCAACCGAGTGCTTCAAACAGCAAGGTAAGAACCCGTAAGCGCAATCACTGTTTGGGGAGTAGAGAACCCTTGCTGGCGAGCCCTTCGGGGGAAACAGGGGGCAGCTATCGTTAACTTTTGTTACTGGTACACGAATGCGAGACCTCACGCTTGTGCTGGGGTGCGGCAGGCGGAAACATGCGTATCAGCGTTGTCGTGTAAGCGTTTGTCCTGTCAGGGTAGAAAAGGGGAGGGGAGGGAGGATATGGAGGGGAGGGTCGGGACTGGCGGGCTGCTGCGAGCTGGCCATCGCTGGCGGCTGTGATGGCTGCCGGCGAACGTACGGTACTCTGGTCGGCCGCGGGCTCGCCGCCATCGCCGCTTCCTCGGCCGTCACTGTCAAAGCGCCCTTCCTCCGCTCCGGCCGCCAGCACCGCCGAGCGCGCCTCGCCCGCCGGGCGGGCGCCCTCCTTTGTTTCCACGGGTCGCACCGCAGGCGCAGACCGGTGCAGTCGGGGCCGCTCGCAAGCGGTCGAAGTACGCTCAGAGCGGTCGAAGTCCTCCGTCTCCGCGCGCAGCTCCGCCGCGCGCGCCCCCCTCTGCGGGCCGCTCCCCTCCCGGGAGGCCGACCCCATCCCTGGCCAGGGCCACTCCGGGCACGCGGTCTGCCGTGCGCCCACCTCTGGACCGAGACCCCGAGGGCCTGCGCACCCTCCCGGGGCCCAGGTGCTGCGCTCGGGCGAGTCGTGGCGGCGGCAGCGCTTCGATGCGCATCGCGGGCAGCCGCGCCCCCTTTTCCTGGGCCGCGTTCGGGGGGCCTCCTGACCGTTTCGCCCCCCCCGCCTTTGGCTGTCTTGGGAGCCCTCCTGGGCCGTTGCCCGTCTGGACTGGCCCCCGCTGCCGTCCCCGGCGGCGGGTGTCGCTTCGTCTCTCCTGTCCTTTTTCCATGCTGCTGCGCATCTGGTCTGTGGGGCCCTCCTTGGCTGTCTCCTGGGGCAATCTCGGAGGCCCCATCGGGCCATCCTGGAGCGTCGGCGCCTGCTCTCTCCAGCCCGCGCGCGGCGCGGCTCCGCGAGCCCGATGCGGTGCCGCGCCGTTGGTGCTGTGCCCAAGCCCTTGGTCAGCGGGCGCCAATGCCGAATCCACACCCTTCGGCTTGTAGAGTTTCGGGCAGGGTGTTCATGTGCGCGGGGAAAGTCAGGGGTCCGATAGTCCCCCTTCTGCAATCCCTTGGGTGAGGATTGCTGTTTGGACGCCGTTGTAGTTCACGCGGGCTCGGTCCGACTCCAACGTGCTAACTGGCAGCGGGAAGACACCATCTGATAAACCCACGGCGTTCCTGGGCCTGACCAATAGCAACTCCCGCCAAGTCCGCGGGGATGCTTTCTCTGGAGGTCTCCGAACATTGCCCGCGAGGGGTCTCCCTGCGAAGGCGGCCTCCGCTGCCAGTTCATGGAGTAAAAGCTGAGCGTCGCCCGCGTCGCGGATGTTCCCACTTTGCCCCGGCGTGAGTTGCGCGGGCCTGGGCGGACACGGGAGAGCAGGGCGAGTTCCTGGAGAAGGCCCATCTGGGACTTAATCATGATGTGACGAAAAGGACCCCCTCTGTCCACGGGGCCTTCTCCGCGCAGGAGCGCAGCACAACTTCCCCGCCAATCCTTGGGGCGAGACGCTAAGCAACCAGGGCCAGCCAGTAAGCCTCAGGAGGGCCCGGGCGACCGCGCCCAGAGGGGCATCTCCGAGCAAGAGGACGGCTCTCGGCAGAAGGTCCGGGGTTGTAGCCCCCGTGGTGCCTAGCGTGTCGATGGCCCTGGTGACCTCCGTCTCTGCGACTGCTCTGTCGTGGGGGCCCTGCCCGCGGCGCGAGCGAGCGCGGCCCGCCGGCCCGGGAAGGCGGTCCAGGATTTGAGCATGGTAATGAGCATCCCACTGGCCCGGCCACTCCGTTTGCTTTCGAAGTTGCTGGCATCGGGATTCCCTGGGTTCGTCTGGGCCGAGAAGGACATCATCCGCACCCCGCAAGGCGGCTGCGATCCGTAGCTCGCTTGGAGACAAGATCCGCGTGCACGTTGCGAGTCGTGTCGACCCTGGGCACTGTTGCTGCCAGGCCGCCTGAATGCGGTCCTGCAGCGGGGCCGGGGGTCGACCGCGGGCCCGGCGAGTGCCCGGGGCAATCGGCACGACCCGGTCTGCCGAGACCAGGCCCATTCTTGCGTTGAAGCTCCAGACAGACGCGTCTGCCACCCGGGACGGAGGAGGAGGAGGAGGAGGAGGAGGTGGCAGGGAGGAGGCGGAGGCAGGGAGGAGGGAGGAGGAGGGAGGAGGAGGAGGAGGAGGAGGAGGAGGAGGAGGAGGAGGAGGAGGAGGAGGAGGAGGAGGAGGAGGAAGGAGGAGGAAGGAGGAGGAGGAGCGACGCTGCCAGGGGGGCCAGGGCGAGCTGCTGCGCCCAGGCCTCGGCGGCGCCACCTTGGCACCCACCGACCAAGGCGGACTCGAGAGCCTCTGAAGCCGGCCGTGCCTCGCGGAGGCCCTGCATCCACGAGGCCTCTTCGAGTCACCACGGCGGCGTGGCCCAGGCCTCGGCGGCGCCACCTTGGCACCCACTGACCAAGGCGGACTCGAGAGCCTCTAAAGCCGGCCGTGCCTCGCGGACGCCCTGCATCCACGAGGCCTCTTCGAGTCACCACGGCGGCGCGCGCATCGTGCCCGGCCCTTGGGCCGCAGGGGGGGGGGGGCTCCAAGGAGAGCTCCACTTCTAAGAGGAGGTGGTCCCCGAGTGTGTAGCCTACACAATCCCCACAGCGACAACGATCCCCATGCTTTCCGTGCTGGCGTCAAGAGACGCCGTTGTGCACCGGGGCTGTCTCCTGAGCTGCTGACGACGCCAGCGCGATGTCGATGAGCGGGATTGCCCTTGACAGTGGTGGGTGTCTCCAGGGCGTACCCTGACCGATCGGCCACGCCTAGGGAGGAGGACCTCCTCTGGCTCCTGGGACCCAACAGGGGGATTCAAATGGAAGAAGGACCAGTCCTGAACGAAGGAGGACCACGCCCTTGCCCTGGCTGGGCAAGAATCCCTTGCAATGAGCTATCTGTGCCATTCCGTGCCACTTCCACGCTTCGAAGGCGGCGGGAAATAGACTGTGCAAACGACGGACGGCGATCCCACGCTCACCGATATAGACACCCAGTCTCGGGGAGGCTCCCACATGTCTCAGGCGTTGGCCCCCCTCCGCGGCAATCCTCACTCCAGGGACTCCAGCGAGGCTGAAGCCCTCCGGCAATCTGGCACCCGGGAGTCCGATGAGCCCTAGGTTTGAACTGCGCAACGCCTGAAGGATGCCAACTTGGTTGCCTGTGAATACGCTGCGGCGCACCTTTCTGCCGTCTACGGACATACAACACGGGATCCTTGGCCGACACCTGCAAGTACCGCAGCCGGCTCCCGCCGTACGCTCGCCCAGAAGCCCGCAGAGTCTGGTCATCATAGGGCATCCCAGAGCTCGAGCAAGGGCCCGCCGTCTGGGGCCCGGGAAACTCCCTTGGATCCTAGCAAGCGCGGGGATTCCGCTTGCAGCTCGCCCCACTGGTGAGCCAGCAAGATGTCCGCGGTATGGTCGCCACACGGACCCAAACCTCTGGAGTGTGGCGCTCGCACCCGGAGCCCATCGAGGGCTGCAACCATACGCTAGCTCGGGTGGAGCCGGATGGCTGCGGACAGCGGCTGTCCATCCCAGCCCAAGCCCGGCCTAGCCC